TTATATGTAATTATTTTTAGTCCGGGCACTTATTTGTAATTATTTTCACTTTCCGGGTACCTATATGTAAATTCCCCTTAATTATACCCGTGATGAACTCATATCATTGATAGATGCGGGTGAATTGCGAGGGGATTTTAAAGAATACACAGACTGGAGAAATGAGGCATCCAACAATATAGCTATTTTTAAAAGCGTATTCAAAAATGGAAGGACGCAATCCCACGATCATATTTATGCGAAACTTTGTGGAGTGAAAGTTAATGATTTGTTACAAAACGACCCATTATGCATTGGGGTAATTGACTTTGGTTCATGTAGATACCAACTCCCAGAAAATAACTATAAAGTTCTTGTGGTATGAAATAAAAATTAACTCCATTAATTAATAAAAATGTGTCAACCGTTTTCCTTTAAATAATTTTGCTAGGGAGAAAAGGCCGGTATAAGAGAGTTAACCAAAAGTGCTGAAATTAAAAAGTTATGTTCCAATTTTGTAGTAAAGAGAAATGAACTTAGTCAGTTACATAAGTTTGTATTATCGTCATCAGAAATCTTAACACATGACGAGTGGGTTGAAGAAGAATATAAGAAAGAATGTGTAGTAAGAGGAATTATCGGCGTACTTCTACAAAGAAATAAAACTAAATGCGCTTCATAGGGTTTCACATGGCTCAGAAAATTCTCTTGTAGAAATTATAGCTCAATTAATACCACCGCTATGTACCGCTTGCCTGTAGGCTATAAAATTGAAGTTACAAGGGCCGAGTGCCAGAGTATAGCTAGTAAAAATCGTAAGGTCCAGCAACAAAAGGGATCGAGAGGAAATAAACTGGACCTTATGATTCGTATGCTTTTCCACAAAAAATAGGAAGAGATTGTATACTTGGAGAGTGGAAAGTAGAACTGCGATGATGAAAAAATTAGGAACGATCATAACAAATTAGTGCAATTCTGTTTAGACGGAACCGAAGAGCTTTTTAAAATTTGTGAAAAAGGTTCTCTTAATAAAAATTATATCGGATTTAGTTAACATTGCAGGTAAGTATATAGAAATACATGGGCTGGTACGCGAAAAAGGTATCAAATATTACCTCCCCATTTCGCGGGCAAAAATACCTTTCGGAGACAAATCAGCCAATGAAGTAGAGGAATTTGTACATGCCTTATTGATTTTACGAGTAAGTGTTTTTGTTTATAAATATTTTTATAACAAAATCATTAATGCGAATGCTCGATTTTCAGAATGGAATTGTAAATGCGCAAGGAATTGTCAATTCAAAAAGATCTAGGAGGTGAATGATATAAACCCTTTCTTACATAAAAACAGGATTAAAAGAAATAGTGCATTTTTAAAACATAATTATGTTGTAATTTGGTTTTATTTTATATCAATAAAACTGGCCCTGGTGGCTCGATTTCGCATACATAATCATGCGTGTGTATTTCGTGAATTTATTGGGCAAATTGCCGTTATTCACAAATTTTTGCCCAATAATGTATACTTAATATTTCAATAAAATTGAATTCTTCTTATACAAATATATCTAATCCTTTAGAGGTTTCTAGATATACTTCTTTTAATTACAGTCGTCCCTCATTGATATCAACCTATTTGAATCATATTATTTTCATATTGATAGTGATATTAATGAAAGTTTATATTAAAGTTGATATATACAGGAGAGTTTTTAATATATAAAAATTTATAAAAATTTGTTTTGTGACTTAGTTGATATTAACGCAGATTAATATCAATAAGGGACGACTGTATTTATAATCACAAACTCAATTTTCTAGTTATTTTTAAAAATCTGCTAACTTTAATAAATAAATAATAATTTTTATTAAGTAATAAAAAAACCTAATTCTCCAAAAATATTCTTTATTTGTTTATGTTTTAAACAATAAATTATGGATAAAATATTAAAATATTATACGCATTACGTTTTAAAGTATACCCAATCAAATAAATGTTCTACGATGATCAACCAAAAATTCTAGAATCATCCAATTGACGATAAGATGTGATCGTCAACACGCTAGTTCTGTAGTTACGGCTTAAGTCTGCACCTCTAGGAACGAACACTCAAATGGAAAAAAAAAACGAATCAAAAAATTTAATCAACAAGCTCTTCGAATCTCGAATCACTCTTAATATTAGTCCTGTTGCGATCATATCGTTATTCATACTACTTATATCTCTAGCGATTGCATGGGACAAATATAGACAGCAAGCTATTTGTCAAATACTAACGGGTGATTATGAAGACAAAATCCAGTGGATCCCCATTCCTGATCATAAAAACGCAGAGAGTTATCTTTCGTTAGATAATGGTGCTTTCGCTTACCGACATATATATATGGATGAGTTTGAAAAAGAATTTAATGTGAAACCATTAAATTTTCCAGTATGTATTTTATGTATTTAATCATTTATACGCTTTAAATTGTAATAATGGTTTTTTAATACGGCTAGACTATTGACCCGGATATAGCACCTTATCTTGCAAAGCATAATCTTAGAGCCCGAATATTAAATAATAGTGAAATTAGTGAAGAAGCAGCTTCAACAATTTTTACAGTGTCAGAGAATTATGCACCTATTATAGAAGATATAAAGTTTAAGGTCGGAAATGGAACATATGTTGATGATGGACGCGTATATATTCGTTGGGTTAATGATATCGTAAGATGGGGCATGTTTTCTGGTCGTTCTTTTCAACCAAATGAACTTCTAGGGATCTATACTGGTGTGTATACGTTTATACTTCTACTAACTAAAAAATAAAAAATACTAAGTTTTGCAAATTTTAACTAACAGGATTTATAACGCGTCAACTTGGTGATGTTGAGTATGGTACGTTAAGAAGTTCTAGTACTACAGTCAGACCTCGTTATAGTCACAACCTTGATATAATCACATTAATTTTTAATTCGAGCTAATATAAAACATATAAAATAATCACCAGAATCTTGTTTCCCAAGCTGGTGATTATATCGAGGTTTGACTGTAAATATAAAAATCTTATTTTATTTTTTGAACTCATATAATTACCAACAGGAGGAACCGTCGAACTACACGACTGATTCTTCACTCGGTGTGCAACATATAAAAAAACTATTTTACAATACCAGATCATTCCGCTAGTACATGTTATGATTATAACCCACACCATTTTATTATAATAAAAATGGTGTGGGATTATAATAATAACATGTACGTACTAGTGGAATGATCTGGTATTGTAAAATAGTTTTTTTATATGTTGCACACCGGGTGAAGAATCAGTCGTGTAACATCGATAGTTCCTGTTATAATTACCTAAATATAATAGCTTGGATATTCAATTATCTTGTGGATGTTATAGATGAAAATAATGAAAAAGTGAGGGTTTGTATTGATGGTAAACGTATGGGAAATTATATGCGATTTGCTAATCATCGGGACAGTAAGTATTACTCTTTAATTGATATATTATTAAAAATATAATTTAAGCACAATTTCTTAATTTTGAATAGAAAATCATAATGGTGACCAACTTTATACGATTTATGATGATATTTGGTACGTGCTCTATACAACACAGGCTGAAATTAAGGTGAATGTTAATTCTCGTTCATTCTGTTAGAACTACTTATAGCTTACATTACTAAAATCCTGGTATATATATATATATATATATAGCCCCACGAACAAATATTCGTTAATTACGGTCAAGCATACTGGGATACCAAACAAAAATACGAATTTAATTAACTTAGTTTAAATAAAACTTATTATGAATTAATAAATATAAATAGTAATGCATACAAAAACTATTGATATCATAAATGAAATTTAGATTGATGCAAATAAACTAGATTATTACTTCAAAAGTAATTTATGCACCTTTATACTTATATTTTAATTTTCTAGACCATTTATATCTGGTTCTGAATCTCTGATGATATACAAGGCAATTATATCTACGATGAGAAATCCAAGTGGTATTCCCCACCACAATTGTTCCATTCGATCCGTACCAATTGCCATAATTGTAGAAACAAGTGATAGAAGAATTCCGCAATATAGATGAACGACTGTAACAATTCGTGATTGTAAAATATATATTGAAAACAATAGAGAACTAATTGATAGTATTGTTGATATCATTGGATATGGTGTATGGGAATAAATCTTTTCAGAAGTCGGTAGAGGTATTGACGGAGAGATCGAGTTTTTCATCAATCCATAAAAGAAAAATAAGTACCTATTAAATTGATTAAAAGGAATTATAATTTGATATATTGTAATAGTTTGCTTACAGTATCATTATCGACAATGAAAAGAACACCAGTACCTTCTAATTATTGGTTTAACACAAAAAATAAGTAAAAAAACAGAGCAATAATAGATAACCTGTATAAAAAAAAAAAACCTTGAACAAATTATTGGCTTGGTCATTTTTTGTATGAAATTCCTCAATTAAATTCTCTTGCTCTATGATTAGGAAATGAATTAGGAAGTGAATCCAGGCATATAAATAAAAATAAAGAGGAAGTCAATTATGTAGTATAAAATCAGTGATGTCATAAATTAATGTGATTTTAAAGTTTTTCTATTTTATGCTTTAATTTGTTTATCGGTTTTAGCATTTGGTCTGGCAGCATTCGTTAATTTACATTACAAATTCTGGAACAAATAAAAATTTAAAATATTACTTAGGTAAAGTTTTTACTTTGTTATTTTAAAGTCACTATTATTATTGTAGTAGTCTTTATTGTTATATACCACAAAGTCACTCTTTTTATAGTGAAGTCCTCAGTGTAAAATTTTATGAGAGATTCACTATATCGAGAGCACTTTAATATATACAGTCTACCCTCTTTATAATCACACTTTTGGGCACAGCAAATATCGTGATTATATAGAGGTGTGATTATATATATAAATTGTCTTGATTATGTGACAAAGAATCGACTTTTTAAATTTTATTATATAAATAATAATAAATGCCATATAAATTATATAAAATTCAAGTTTTAGTTGCATTATAAATATGGTAGTTTACAAGTTTATATTTATATATAGTTGCACACACACTATAGTGAAAAAAATACAAAATGTATACTTAGAGGAGGTGTGCACTTAGAGAGATTAAATTTTATAGTTGCTATATGAGTTGGACCAAGCAGAGACGTGCATATTAGGGGGTTTTCATATACTATGTATTTAGAAAATATACATTTAGGGGTCTGACTATATATGTAGATGTAAGCTTGATTTAATAATTTATAAAATTATGAAATAACAACCTTTAAGCTATCTTTATTATTTATATAAACTTTTATTTGATAGGGTGTGGTGATATAGTAAAGTGGTGAAGTTGTTGCACCCCCAAGCCAGCTTGTAACTTAGGTACCAAGTTTGAATTCCACTAGTAATATTTTGGACAAAACTATTTGTGTTATAGTAATGAATCTTCATCAATAAGTTGGGTTATAGTATTTGTAACTCTGGTCACACTAGTGCCAGCAGTGTACTGGAAGTATCTGGATAATATGAGTTATATAGAAAAACCAGAATCAAAACAAAATACCAATAGAGAGAACAGGATTTACTATAAAATCCCAAAAGACAGATTCCCGAAAGGACCTAATATCGACAAAAGTAGCTGGCATTAGTTACAATGTTAGCCAATTTAGTCAGTATTATGTTCTTTTGGGAAAATGGTTTTCAGGATTTTGTGGTAGAACTGAGAAAACTTGAAGATCTGAAACCGGCTTGGCAAGACCCAAGTTGGAAGTAGTAAGGATTATGAGGATGCTACAAAACTAAACCAAACTAAGAACTAATGAACCAGTAGAACTGAATATCAAAATTTTTAATAAGAGGATTCAAGGACACTGGACATCTCTCATATAGGTCATACTTGCACTTTAGCAAAAAGTCAAAAATTTGGCCTAAAGTCTGATTTTTAGTTTT